GTGGCTCAAGTGGTAGAGCGCTAGCCTTGAGCTGAAGAGCTGAGGGACAGCGCCCAGGCCCAGAGTTCAGGCCCCATGACCGGACCCAAAAAAAAAAAAAAAGAGTCTCAAGAACTTTCCTGCCTGGGCTGGCTTTGAACTGCGATCCTCAGATCCCAGCCTCCTGAGTAGCTAGGATTATAGGTGTAAGCACCAGTACCTGGCTTGGACACAGCCTTTATAGAAGAGGCCCCCTTTTTGTTGCTATAAAATGAGCAGCCAGATAACCAGGGACGGCTTCTACCCCTTGCTCCCTAGGGCAGCTTGAGCCAGCTGCATAAATCCAGTGTCTTCATCTATCAAATAGGCACTCTTTATCTACATCAGTATCCCAGGCTGATGGCTCATTTGACCGACAAGGACTCTGTGTGATGAGCTGACAGGTGGATGGGCTAGAAGGAGGTAGGAGGAACCTTGTTGGAGGAAGTAGGTCATTGGGAGAGTGGCTTGTCTCTCACATCTTACTTCCTGTCTCCCATGAGGTGAACATACTCTTTCTGCCATGATGTTTTTGCCTTGCCACAAGTTTAAAAACAATGGAGTCACTCAATTGACAATGGACTGAAAGCCCTGAAAGTTTGAGCCAAAAATCTTCCCTTCTCTAAGTTGTTTATCTCAGCAACGGGGGGAAAAAAATAGCTAACACAAGAACTCCTGCATTGAGTTGTCAGTTCAAGAGAAGTAACGTCTGGGTGTGATCCCAACCCAGGAGGCTGTGGGCAGGAGGGCAGTGAATCAAGACCCACATGAGACTCTGTCTCGAAAAACAAAGCCAAGTAAATGTAAAGTGCTCAGGCCAATGCTTGGTAGGTAGTATTATTCAAAATTACCTTTCACTTCTTATTACCTATTAAAGCAGAGACCTGGAAGACCTTCCCAGCGTCCACAGGATGCAGATATCCTTTTCTTTTTGCTTTTCATTGTTGTTGTTGTTGGCCATGGGGCTTGAACTCAGGGTCTAAGTGCTGTCCCTAAGCCTTTATCTTTTTTTTTTTTGGATTGGTCGTGGGATGTGAACTCTGGGTCTGGATGCTGTCCGCTGTCTCAGAGTTCTTCAGCTCAAGGCAAGCGCTCTACCACTTGGGCTACAGCACCACTTCCAGTTTTCTGGTGGTTAATCGGAGCTATGAATCTCATAGACTTTCCTGCCTGGGCTGGCTTTGAACCTCAAGCCTCAGATCTTAGCCTTCTGAGTAGCCAGGATTACAGCACCCCGGCTTCCTAAGCCTTTTTGCTGAAGGCTAGTGGTCTACCACTTGAGCCACAGCTCTGTTTAGGCTTTATTTATTTGGTAATTAATTGGAGATAAGACTCTTGTGGATTTTCCAATCTAGGCTGGCTTTGAACTGAGATCCTCATATCTTAGCCTCTTGCACAGCTAGTATTACAGATGTGAGCCACTGACATCCGGTTTTACAACCTTTGATTTTTTTGTTAATTTACTTTTGTGCTAGCACTGGGGCTTGAACGTGGGGCCTGGCATTCTCCTCTGGCTTTTTTTGCTCAAGGCTGGTGCTCTACCACTTGAGCCATACCTCCACTTCTGGCTTTTTTTGTGTGTGATTAATTGGAGAGAAGCGTCTCATGGAGTTTCCTGGCCAGGTTGAATTTGAACCTCGATCTTTAGATCTCAGGTGTGTGAACTACCGGCACCTGGCTTTTTGCTAACTGGAGCACAAGTGGAAAGCAAGTGCTCCCTGGTAATCTCAGGCCCCCAAAGCCACTCTCTGTGCCTACTTGCTGAGCCCAGCACCACTGACATTCCCGGCTGGCTTTGCTTTGAGGTCATCAGATTGTCTACAAGCTTCGTAACAGGTAGAGACAGGTGCCTAGGCTCCACTCCCCCCCCACCTCTCCCTTCCTCTCCCTCCCACCCTCCCCTCCCCTGCCTGGTGTAGCTGCCATCTGGAGGGAACCCACAGAGGATGGAGAGGTTTGTCTAGGGAATGCTGGGGTGACATTAGCCTGCCCCCCCTCCCTACCCCTCCCCCTAGCTGAATGGGAGCTGCTGTCTACCCAGCTTCAAGCTGGCTTTTGTTAAGCTTGTGGCTGGGGGATTATTGACCGACCTATTGGCTATTTTAAGATGATCAGTTTACAGCTCCTACCTGGCCCCAGCTCTATCAGCAGAAGTGAGGTTTGCATCTGTGGCTGCATTAGAGTTTGTTTGTTTCTTCCCATTACCATGGACACCAGGACTTCACTTTGAAAAGCTAACCACCGTCCCACCCCCCACGCCCCCATCCCTGCCCTTCCAATCCCGTCCTTAGCACACTGTCATTGGTCCCAACCACAGAGCCAATCATAGCTGAGCACCAGTGAGTGGCTCATGCCCATCAAGCAAGGCAAGCACTCTACCACTGAGCCACCTTCCCAGCCCTCTGTGAGAGATTCTCATCTCCTATTAACTAGTCAAAAGACAGAAGTGGAGCTGTGGCTCAAGTGGTAGAGTGCCAGCCTTGAGTGAGAAAGCTAGGGGAGAGCACCCAGTGTTATAAGGTGAATCATTCCAGAAGCCACATTTTAGAAGGTGGAAGATTGGAGTCTTTATTATACAGTTAGCAGGCTGCAGGCAGCCAGTTGTTACAAAGGCCTGCAGCCCTCAAATACACATAACATAGCTAGGAAACAGGCTAGAGAGGAAAGAAAGAACAAAAATGATACCAACCCCAATGGAGAGCTGAACTGAGGCTCCATGATGACTGGAGATGAGCCAGGAGACAGGACACAGGAGACTATTACGGAGACACATGTGGCCTGGTGTAATGGCGGCCAGGTTGATGCAGGCCTTGACGCCAGACCCTACCATCTACCACGTGGCCAAGATGGCGCCACTTAGACCTGACCTCCTTACTTTACCAGCCCTAGCATGCCCACATGCACACACACACACACGTACATGTGCACACACATGCATGTGCGCACGCACACACAGACACACACACATAAGATGTTGGAACTGTGGTCATTCCAACATCAGAGAATCATCCCATGTTGGTGCTCTTGTCTCCTCACTTTTCCTGCCTGCCCCCCTCTTTGGGGAACCATTCTACTCCCCCAAGGGCAGATCACAGTTACATGGGAGGCTGGGTACAAGCCTGTTCTATTGGGGTATCTGTATGTGTGCGTGTGTGCATATGTGTGTGACTTGAATGCAGGGTCTGGGCGCTGTTCGTTAGCTTTTTGTGCTCAAGACTGACACTACCACTTGAGCCAGGGCTCCCATCCCCAGCTTTTTTTTTTGTCAGTCGTGGGGCTTGAACTCTGGGCCTGGGCACTGTCCCTCAGCTCTTCAGCTCAAGGCGAGTGCTCTACCACTTGAGCTACAGCACCACTTCTGGTTTTCTGGTGGTTTATTGGAGATAGGAGTCTCATGGTCTTTCCTGCCCGGGCTGGCTTTGAACCGCGATCCTCAGATCTCAGCCTCCTGAGTTGCTAGGATTACAGGCATGAGCCACCAGTGCCCGGCCATCCCAGCTTTTTTGATAGTTAATTGGAGTTTAAAAACTCCCCTGGACTTTCTTGCCCCAGGCTGGCTTTGAACCTCAATCCTCAGATTTCAACCTCCTGAGTAGCTAAGATGACAGACACAAGGCTGGGTGTTTTTAAATAAAGACCATGGCCAGAAGAGGGGTCTCCCCAGAGCAGGAATGGGGAAGGGGTGCTGGGAACAAGCTTAGCAGACAGAGAAATCTGTTTGTCTTCACACTCCCTAGACACCATCGCTCTTCCTATGACAGCTAAAGCATCATGATGGCGGGCACATTCCAGGAGAGAGATCCTGAGCTCTTCTGCCAAGTGGCCTTCTCCTTGTCCAGTGTAGGTCTGATGACATAAAATGGGAAAAACCTCAGCAGGAAACACTCTCCATCTTTTTTTCTTTTTCCTTTAGGGGGGTCTTCAGAAGAAACTCTGATCAAAGGCGAAGGAGTATTTGAAAAAGAACTGAGAAAACTTGGGGAAAAAAATCACAGAGGGCATGAATATTTGTTTATATTTGTCTGGATTTCTGGAGATAGTCCGGCCCATGGCTCTGCCCTTTCTCCAACACCCTCTTTCCCCTGTTCTCCCCCACCCCCCGCAAGTGGGCAGATTTTTCAAACATTTAAAAGTCTCTTCTTATAATTTTATGATGCGTATAGAATTCCTGACCAAGGACCTGATCCGTTCATGATTTTATGGGCTGAGAAAGCACTCAGAAGGTCCTGTCAGATTTTGTCATTAAAAAAAATATTTATAAAAGCCATGTTCTTATTTATATCTCTGATTCCCCCTCCCCTGAAAAAAGAAAAAAAAATGGAAGAAACAAGAACAGGCTCCTGATAGAGAGAAACCAAATGTGTGTGTGTGTGTGTGTGTGTGTCTGTGTGTGTGTGTGTGTGTGTGTGTGGTGTTGAGGGACCTTTTTTTTTTTAGATCAAAGAGTTTCATTTGGTGCTCTCCTTCCCTCCTCTTCCTCCCCAACCCCCCATCCCAGATCTGTTTGAAAAATGCTCAGATCTTTTTCTTTTCTTTTTCCCACATACAGACTGAGCTGTCAGTGGAGGGGTGAGTGGGGGAGGGGAGACCTGCTCTGTTGGGTGGGAGGCCGAGCCATTTCCACACCCTCGGTGACTGCCGCAAGAAAAAGCTGGTGAGGGGGAGGAGAGAGAGAGAGACAGACAGACAGACAGACAGAGACAGACAGACAGAGAAAGGACTGATTAATCAATTGATCATTATATAGAACAGAAGCATAAAAATTAAGAACAATCCCTGACTTTGATTTTGTTTTGTGTTGGTGGGTTGTGGAGCTGGAACTCAGGGTGCTGTCCCTCAGCTCTTCAGCTCAAGAGGAGCACTCTACCACGTGAGCCACAGCACCACTTCCCGTTTTCTGGTGGTTCATTGGAGATAAGGGTTTCATGGACTTTCCTACCCAGGCTGGCTTTGAACTGCGATCCTCAGATCTCAGCTTCCTGAGTAACTAGGATAACAGGCATGTGCCACCAACAACTGGCCCTTTTTTAATTTTATTTTGGCCAGTCCTGAACTCAGGGCCAGAGCACTGTCTCTGAGCTTTTTTTGTTCAAAGCTAGTACTCTACCACTTGATCCACAGTGCCACTTTCATTTTTTTCTGTCTGTGTGGTAGTGAGGAATTGAACCCAGGTCTTCATGCATGCTAGGCAAGCATGCTACCACTAAGACACATTCCCAGCCCTCAACTTAGTTTTTTTTTTTTTTTGGTTGGTCGTGGGGCTTGAACTCTGGGCCTGGGCGCTGTCCCTCAGCTCTTCAGCTCAAGGCGAGTGCTCTACCACTTGAGCTACAGTGCCACTTCCTGTTTTCTGGTGGTTTATTGGAGATAGGAGTCTCACGGTCTTTCCTGCCTGGGCTGGCCTTGAACCACAATCCTCAGATCTCAGCCTCCCGAGTAGCTGGGATTACAGGTGTGAGCCACGGATACCCAACATGGAAGTATCTTTTTATGATTTGGCTTCATTAAGCCAGACACTAAAGTTTCCACAGACAGTTCACAGATGAAGTCGGATACAATACTGGAGGAGACTTCACAGGGCATGGGTCAGGAAGGTAAGGCAAATTATGGCTATGTTAGAAACAAGCCCTATTATCATACCTCCAAGAAATCTAAGCATTTCCCTGGCATCTCCCTGACCTCCCCCTCCCCCAGCCATGATGCTATCTGCCTTTTCCTTGTGAGGCACCCCCTTTTTCCCCCCCTCATTTGTTTACAGGTCAGTTTCCCTTTCCTTCATTCTGAGCTCATTGAGGTTAAGGGTTAGACTTTATTTGTTCTGATCCACTAAACATCCAACACAGTGAATTGAATTAAGGAAAGAGACCAGAAAGCAGAAGCAAACCCCACTGTTAGTTTACATGGAGAGTTCTCTGTTTGAATTTGGGGACTAGCTGGAAAGAATGTTCAATTGGTAAATCCCTCAAGAAATCAAAATATCTTCACATTTTGAGGGCTGCTGAGGATGAGTAACACTCCTTTGGATTTCTTGCTTGCTTTTGATAAAATTGAAACTTGGATAACCATAGTAGATACTAGCAGTCTTTTTTAATTTTCATTTTTTTTAGTATTTATTTATTCTTGGTGCTGATATTAGGGCTTGACCTCAGGGCCTGGGCTCTGTCCCTTAGCTTTTTCACTTAAAGCTGTCTTTCTACTCCTTGAGCCACCTTCTACTTCCGGCTTCTTGCTAGTAAATTGGATGTAAGAATGTCAGGGACTCAGGCTGGAAAGGTGGCTCAGTGGTAGAGTGCTTGCCTTGCATGCCCGAGGCCCTGGGTTCGATTCCTCAGCACCACATAAGCAAAAAGAAAGCTGGAAGTGGTACTGTGGCTGAAGTGGTAGAGCGCTAGCCTTGAGCTGAAGAGCTGAGGGACAGCGCCCAGGTCCAGAGTTCAAGCCCCACGACCGACCAAAAAAAAAAAAAAAGAATGTCAGGGACTTTCCAGCCTGAGCTGGCTTTGAACCTAGATCTTCAGATCTCAGCCTCCTGAATTACTAGGATGACAGGCGTTTGCTACAGGCTCCCAGCTTGACTTTCTGAAGAGAAACCAAAGATACTGTGGGGGTGATATGTGAATGGGAAAGAATCTGGCCCAAACGTGACCCTCTTAAAGACATATTTGTTAGTGGTGAGTGACGGCAGTTAGAGCCAGCCAGGACTGTTTCTAAAGTGTTAAACTGACCTTAGGTAACAGGGTCACGAGGCAGGGCCCGGGATTGGTGAACAACTCTTTGCCTTTTGTGGAAAGCTTTTAAAAGGCTTTCCTTGCCATCCATTCCCCCCCCTACCCCCCACTTTCTTTCTGGTTTCATCCTGTCTAGCTCTCTTTAAAAAAACACCCCAATTTGAAATCTGACTCACATACCGACCTCCCTAGCCTAAGGACACGTGGGCAGCCTCCAGATCTCCAGATGATTCCCTCAGATCTCCTCATCTGGTAGGATGGTGGGAGCCAGAAAGATTGGCAAGCACCAATCTTCTCCTGATCTTCCGTGAGAACTGCAAGAAGTGTGTGTGTGTGTGTGTGTGTGTGTGTGTGTGTGTGTGGTATCTGGGCAAGGCTGGCACTCTCCTACTTGAGCCACTGCTCCACTTCCAGCTTCTTGCTAACTTAATTGGAGATAAGGGTCTGTACTATTTGCCTGCTGTGATCCTCGTATCTCAGCTTCCTGAGTAGCTAGGACGACAGGTGTGAACCACCAGTGCCGTCTTTCTTTTCCTACCTCCACATCATAGCTCAACACCAACACCAGTCCTCAGTTAAGGACTGTCAACACCACTCGATTCACCAGGAACATAGTGCAAAGCACTTTTTTCCTCCGTTCACCAGTGTGGGGTCCTCCTCTAGTCCACTGTGTGCAAAGCACTTGGCTAGGTGCTATGTGAAGGTGTTGAAGCGTGATGCGCACTTCGAGGGCAGTCTTTAAAGCTTTATAAAAGTACTAAATAAAAGCTTGCCCTGCGTGTGTTTAGACTCACAGTGCACAAGGCCCCAAAGACCCCTGGAGTGCGTGGAACACAGCATGGAGGTGTTGAGCCAACATCTCACCAAGCAAGGTACCTCCTCTCAAACCACCTCTTTGTTTTCTCATGCACCAAACAGAACCCAAGTAGGACAATAGGAGCGTGTGCATCTCTTCTGTGGTACAAACAGGGAAATTATCTACATCCCACAACTACCTACATCCCACAACTACAATTTCTTCCAATACTTTTTTTTTTGGTTGTTAGTGATAGGGCTTGAACTCAGGGCCTAGGCACTGTCCCTGAGCTTTTTTCGCTCAGGCTAGTGCTCTATCACTTAGAGCCCTAATGCCACTTCAGGTTTTCTGGGAGTTAATTGGAGATGAGTCTCATTGGGACCTTTCTGCCTGGGCTGGCTTCAAACTTTGATCCTCAGATCTCAGTCTCCTGAGTAGCTGGGGTTACAGGCATGAACCACCAGCACCTGGCTTCTTCCAATACTTTTATGTCTTTGATCTAAACGTTTTCCCCCACTTCTTTCCATTTGCCTGGATATGGGGCAGACAAGCTCACATTGTGTGTGTGTGTGTGTGTGTGTGTGTGTGTGTGCATGCGTGCATGCTCTCACCCGTTCCTGGGGTTTTAAGTCAGGGACCAGGCATTGTCCCTGAGCTTTTTTCCTTTTTTCTCAAGGCTGGTACTCTACCACTTAAGCCATACACAGTTCCATGTCTGTTTTTTGTTTGTTTTGTGTGTGTGTATGTGTGTGTGTGTGTGTGTGTGGTTTAATTGGAGATAAGAGTCTCATATACTTTCCTGTCAGGGCTGCCTTCAAACCTCAATCCTCAGATCTCAGCCTCCTGAGTAGCTGGGATTATAGCCTTGAGCCACCAGTGCCAGATATCACATAGTATTTTTTTTTTCTTCCCAAAGTTGGGATCAGGATACTTGAATTTATTACTGATAATTTCTTCTTTTTTTTTTTAAACATTAGGTTTCAGCTCTTTTTTCTCAGAGGCTTTACTCTTTACAGTCTGAAAATAATTGGCTTCAATTTTTAGAATATGAAGGCAAAGTGAGGTTTTCAGTATAAATCTCAGTGAGATTTATCTTCCACAGGGGTTACTCTGAAGAATAACACTCTTGCATGTCTTACTCCTTCCAATCCAGCTTAGGAACTTCTGAAAGAAGTCACTGGAGTTACCACAGCACCATAGCTACCAAATTCATCAGATTTGACTCTTAGAAACTTAGCTTTTCCCAAACCAACCTCACTCCCCAAAAGAACAAAGATTCACTGCTGATGGAGACATTTACTTCCTGAGTAGTGATAATGACAAGTCTTTATAGAGCTGTGTACTAGGTACTTTCCGTGTGTCATATGACATGACTGTAGCCATTAAATAGATTAAGTTTGTGAGCATGAGTAATGTGTTTATGCAACAGTGAAATCTGAACTCGAGCCTGTTAGAAACCCAACCCCAAGCTTTTAGCCAATCTAGTGCTCACCACTATACATACTGTACTGCACCGCATGGAAATGATACACTCACAAGAATTGGATAATTCCTTAAATAGATACTGAGTCTAGCTGATATAAGATGAGTATATGAGAGATAAATGTAGGAGTGTGAAGAGGCACGTATCACGTTAGCTAAAGAAATGGGGTATACATTTTGAGGTCAAAATTAATAGATGTTTTATTAAAAAGTCCAGAGAGAAGAGCGTGGTGGTATACTCCTGTAATCCTGGCACTAAAGAGGCAAAGGCAAGATGCTGGCAAGTTTCAGGCAAGCCTGGGCCACAAAGGAGATGCTGTCTAAAGAAAAGAAGAAAAAAAAGAAGAAGAAAAGAAGGGGACAAGAGAGGAGGAGAGGGAGACACACTAGATTGAGGGTGTAGTTCCATGGTAGAGTGCTTGAAGCTAGCAATGCCCTGAGGTCTAACCCTAGGACTAGAAAAAAACCAAGAATAGAGAAATTCAGTGCAGAAAGAATCCTATAGCAGGGGCTGGGAAGGTGGCTCAGTGGTAGAGTGCCTGCCTCGCATGCATGAGGCCCTGGGTTTGATTCCTCAGCACCACATAAGAAAAAAGCCGGAAGTGGCGCTGTGGCTCAAGTGGTAGAGCGCTAGCCTTGAGCTGAAGAGCTGAGGAACAGCACCCAGGCCCAGAGTTCAGGCCTCACAACAGACAAAAAAAATACAAAACAAAAAACAACAAGCCAGGCACCAGTGGCTCATGCCTATAATCCTAGCTACTCAGGAAGCTGAGATCTGAGAATTGCAGTTCTAAGCCAGCTCAGGCAGAAAAGTCCCCATGAGACTCTTATCTCCAATGAATGGTTCAAGTGCTGGGAATGTGGCTCAGTGGTAGAGGGTAAATCCCTGGGTTTAATTCCTCAGTACCACATAAAAAGGAAAGGCTGCAAGTGGCGCTATGGCTCAAAGTGGTAGAGTGCTAGTCTTCAGCAAAAAAGAGCTCAGAGACAGTGCCCAGGTCCTGAGTTCAAGCTTCATCTCTCTCTCTCTCTCTCTCTCTCTCTCTCTCTCACACGCACACAACCTAGTTGAACAGCAGCAGTGTTATTTTCTGTAAATTGGAATCAGCACCTATTTAAAACAGCCTTGCTGTTTCATTTTCTTACCCTAAGCTTGTCCCCACCTTCCCATGAACCTTTATTCTGATGCCTAGAAATAGTTCAGCTTGACCTAATCTAGAAGGCTGGTTTGGAAGCAACATAGCCCAGGGTATTGCTATGTTACGTGTATTCTATCAGTTGAAAATCATGAAGCAGACAAAGTTTTCTAGTAACTCATCAGGGGAAGCTAGTCCTAGCAGGCTGCCGGTCCCCCACACCCCTCCTTCACAGGATGACTTCTGGAACATACCCAAGGCTGTTCATCTGGTCTGAGGTCTTAGTGACATTTCTGTCGGCAGCATTCGTTTAGCAAAAGCTAAGTGCCTCGGGCAATGGGATACCACTTTTCATTTTATTTATTTTAGTATTGTCGTTAAGTAGTTGCATATAAAGACCACCTTTTAAATGAGTGCTTCAACTCCTCTTGTTAGTCTTAACTCATTTTAGGAACTGGTGAACAGCTTTGGCATCTCTCTGGTCCACCTAACACCTACCTGCAGGACTTACTAAAGCTGAGTGCATCAGAGCAAGCTGAGATTCTAGGGCACCCCGGCTCCCCCACCCCCCTTTACTCATCTGGTCCTTCCAGGGCCTTTTGTGTGTCTAGTTCTTACAAATTAAGGAACTTCAGTAACTCGAGGAAGAGATAATAAAACGTCTCCCTCCAGAGGTAATTGTTCATTTCAGGCCGTGTGTGTGTGTGTGTGTGTGTGTGTGTGCGTGTGCATGCGTGTGCACATGCCAGTACTAGGGTTTGGACTCAGAGCCTTGAATTCTCTTGGCTTTTTTTCTCAACCACTTTAGCCACTTTTTTTATTTTTTTAATTGGAGCTGAGAGTCTCACACTTTTCCTAACATTCCTCCGCCCCCCCCCCCACTCTCCAGTGGTTTCCAACCATCATCCTCAGATCTCAGCCTCCTGAATAGCTAGGATTACAAGAGCATGAGCCACCAGGCAAACCTGACTCAGGCCTCTCTGTGTAGCTTTAAAAAATTTTTTAAATTCAGTGCTGTAATCAGGGTAGACAAACTTTGTCCCCAAATATGTGTATGTGTACGTGTGTGGGGGGCTTATCATTTGGGTGAAGTCACCAGTCACACTGACAAACCTCTCCCAGTGACTCACCCCTGTAATCCTAGCTACTCAGGAGGCAGAGATCTGAGGATGATGGTTCAAAACCAACCTGGTGTGTGTGTGTGGGGGTGATAATGGGGCACAAAAATGTGTGAGATTCAGGGCTGGGAAGGTGGCTCAGTGGTAGAGCTTGCTTTGCATGCACGAGGCCCTGGGTTTGATTCCTCAGCACCACATAAACTGGAAGTGGCGCTGTGACTCAAGTGGTAGAGCCGCTAGCCTTGAGCTGAAGAGCTGAGGGACAGCGCCCAGGCCCAGAGTTCAGGCCCCACAACCGTACCCCCCTCCCAAAAAAGTGTGAGATTCTTACCTCCCATAAACTACCCCAAAAAGCTGCAGGAGCTGTGACTCAAGTGGGAGAGTTACCAGCCTTGAGCCCCCCCTCTCCCCCCAAAAGCCAAGTGAGAACATGAGGACCCAGGTCTAGCACCCCCCAACAAAAAGGGGGGGTGGGGAAGGGTCCTTCCGCTGGGGGAGGGAGGGAAGTCCCTGTCGTGGCCAAGTCTCTCCTCCCCCCTCCCCTCCTCCCTCAGGGCAGGATCCTAAACTTCTAGAGGAGGGGAGAGGGCCCTGGGGAAAGGAGCCTGGGAGCCCCAGGGGGTGGGGACCCCAGGGGGAGGGGAGGAGGGAGAAGGGCCCTCAGGGGGAAGGAGGAGAGGGCCCCCCCGGGGAATGGCAAGTTGGGGAGGGGAGGGGGGGGAGAGATGTGGCCCAGGCCCGGATGCTCGGCCTTTGTGGCTCCGTCCTCCACGACGGCGGCGCGGGAGGCCAAGGGGCGGGGCCTGGGCCGGAGCCCCTCCGCCCGGGCCTG